GGTTTGGGGGTTTAGGGTGTAGGGTCCATACGTAAAGGATCTTGGGACTGAGTAACCAGAGTAATGAAGGTAACTGTACTTGCGAGTACCTGTCACCACAATCAAGGTACTTATAACCTGACTTACTAGGCTTTAAGGAGCCCTTGAAGGAGCCTTACTTCGTAAGTCTCATGATCCTTCAAGTAGAAGCCTCTACGTCAAGGATAGCCCGAACCCTCGAGCAGGATCGGCTTGTAGCAAACTTCGTCTGGTGGGATATCCTTCATGTAGGGGCCTTAACAATTAGAATGGGGTTTTAGGGTACAGTATACCAAAGTAATATAATTATGAGGACCCCCCCCAGAATAGTATTGGTAAGTATGTTATCCTGATGTTCTTAAAGGGGCTTACTGTCTGTTTAGGGTCAGTCCATTTCGACGTCTGGAATATGACGAGCTGTCCCTGCCAAGTTTGCAGCGAGTTCCTTGGTTCAAGGTCCTCTGCGCCGCGATTTCGAAGATGGGTTTAGGGCTTCGGGTTTAGGGTATAGGGGCCTTCAGACCTATCAACACCTGAACTGTGCAACATACCTTAAAACACATGTTGATCCTTCGCTCTTTCACTTTGTGACTGCCTCCTCCCGAAACCTACAAGTATTGAACTGTAATTTGAAAGTACACCCAAAACTCGAACCTGCTGGGTGTGCAGTTGGAGGCTCGTAGCAGCAGCGCTTATTTTGCGGACCGTGTTTTGAGTTCCAGGAGCAGAGGTGGCACGACGTACAAATCGCACATCGCCCGGATTCGGGGATAACGTGGTCAAGCTGCTTCATGACCTGTACCTCGGTTGCTGGCATTTGGACGTGTCCAAGATCTGGGATCTGCAGGGGCATGTGCCTACTGTACAGTTCTTGCCCCTCGTCCGCTTTGTACTCCTAATGCCACGATGTACTAGACCAGTAGTACGACGACGTCGACGATATCGTCGTTGGCATTGTGGCCCTGCTTCTCTGAAAGGTCTGGCGGGTAAGGCCAGTGCATCTTTCAAGGCGCGGCGTTATGAGCACATACAAAGAATGGGGCTCACGGTTTTGGGCGGGATCAAGAGCTTCGGGTGTCAGACGGCTTAGGGGATTGGTGAGTATCAGAGGTGTATGTTTTGACACGGGAGTTCCTGAAAATAGGGGACCCTAATATAGTACCCTAAATAGTAGGATCCTTATTATAAGGACCCCCAACATAAGGTACCCCTAACTTTCGGAAACCCCCACACGAACGCTGTCTGAATTCTGAGCTTGGGCTAGAGGGAGAGCCTCACCTTTTTATGAGGTTTCGGCGTACCCGTGACAACATGTGGGAGTTTCCAAAAATTGGGGTATCCCATTTTGCGGTCCTTATAATAGGGATCCTATTATTTAGGGTACTATATTAGGGTCCCCTATTTTCGGAAACCCCCATGTCAGTACGGAGGCCGAGTTACGTCCTTCCTTTTTGGACACTGTAGCAACCCTTGGGAAACGGTACCGTGTAGCCCGAGGCCCAGATGTCATGTTCTACTGACGGGGCCCACCCCAAAGCAAAAGAATGGGCTCAAGGTCAAGGGTATATGGGGGCTTTCATACATGGCATGCGGCATTTAGAGGGCATACTGTGCCGTAAGTAGAAGTATACTAAGGAACCCCAAGGAAGAGAATATCTAGATTACTCCTGGACCCAGACCCAAAACCACTGCAACCCGAATGCCTTCAGCCGATTCCTTGGCAAGGATAGGGGCCTTTGTAATTAGAAGAGGGTTTCCGGGCAGGTTATAATACACCTCTCCGAAAGGAAGGCTCTGGAATGATAATGTAGGGGCCTTAATAATTAGAATAGGGTTTTGGGGCCCATTATACGGGTAGCTCTCTAAATCCGGGCCCCTTTTAAGGTCCGCAACATAGAACGACGCCTTATCAAAAGGACCCTAAAAGGGACCCTAATTTTGAGAACCACCCATACTATACTTAAAACAAGGAACCCCCAAACTAGTATTGGTAATTAGTGAGGCCCCTATATGGGAGTTTCCGAAAATTAAGGGTACCTTATCTAGGGGTCCTTATAATAAGGATCCTACAATTTAGGGTGCTATATGAGGTTCCTCTATTTTCGAAAACTCCCACATTAATTCCTCAGCAAGGTTCCTGAAGAAGGCCGTCGCTCGCTTCTTGGAGATGATCGGCCAGGAGATCCTCCTTCGGGTGGTATACATGCCCGGTAATAAAGTTTCGTCGCATCCGCTTAGAAACACTAAGCGGAGGACGCGGAGTACAGCAGGTGAGGAATACCCTAGCCTGGCTAGCGGAGGAATTATCACACCGGAATGAAATTATACTAT